AGACAATTCAAAAGGTAAACGACAGGACTTAGAGACATAACATGATTCACAATGTAAAGGCTCTGAAAACTGAAAACCTAAGGAAGACAAAATAGATTTGGCAATCGCAGGAGCTGGATGACCGAGTCTACGATGCCAAGTGGACTCTTGGATAGCTTGATACGCAACGGTTGGGAGTTTGGAAGGAAGTGTGTATAACCCATGCTCACAGAGGCCCTTGTACCGCACCTGGTTGGTAGGATTGTCCACTATCTGGAAATCGTTGGCATTGAAAACAAGAGTGCAGTTGTTATCTTTGGTAAATCGATGGACAGACAATAGATTGGAGGTAAGGGAAGGGACATAATGAAGAGTAGAAAGGTGGTATTTACCATTAGGAGTATGGACAAAACCTGAGCCAGAGTGTGTGATGGGTAGGGATTGACCATTGCCTACGGTAATAGCATCAGTACCGGTGTATTGATGAGGAGATTGTAGCTGAGAATAATCAGACGTGACATGGGTGTTGGCACCAGTGTCCAGATACCAGTTTCCAGAATGATTACTCGTAGATGCATGCATTGCACGGGGAGCACTAGAGGAGGAGTTCGCAGTATAAGAATCATCAAATCGATACCAGCACGCAGACGCAGAGTGACCTCGTTTCTCGCAGATTTGGCAGGTTGGCAGATCCCGTGACGGTCGACCATTTCCCTGGGACGGTCGACCGTTGTTCCTTTCTCCACGTCCGTTGTTGTATCCACGTCCAGGTGACGGTCGACCCCGGTAGCCTCCTCTACCGCGACCTCGACCGTTCGTAGCGAGAAGTGTTGTGCGAGGTTCGGTGATGGTAGACTCGGTGAGGTTGAGTTTATTCTCCATCTCCAGGTTTATTTCTTCGGAGATCAGCCATCCAGAAAGCTGATTTAACAAAATATTGGTATTGTTCATGCGAATGTTTTGCTTAAAGGATGAGTATTCGGTGGGAAGACCACGAATAACAGCATTCACCACATCACGTTCAGGGATCTCTTCTTTCAAGGCATCGAGATCCGAGAGAATAGTTGCCACATCATCAAGGTATTGTGTCATAGTTTTGGTACCTTTACAAAGAGTGTGGAGTTTGTCCCGAAGCTGATAAACATGAGCGGTGGACACGGAGTTGTACCGTGCGGCCAAAGCATCCCAGAGGGCAGCAGATGTGGTGAAGCCGCGAGCATGTTTGTGAACAGAGGGGCTGATGACCGCTAGGAGGCAGACGCGGATCTGTGTGTCAACGATGGTCCAGGAGGTATACTCTGGATTAGGGACGGTTTTATCGTTTTTGGAGATAGTTGGCGCCGGGGCTGCTTCATTACCATCAATCCATCCAAGGAGGAGATTAGCTGAAAGAGCTGTCTGGACATTGAGAGACCATGCCGGATAATTTGTTTCGGTGAGTTTTTCTGGGATTAAGTTGTGGAGACTCCGAAGTAAAAGTTTTACTCCGGAGGGTAAGGACGCCAAAGGATCCGACGGGGCTGCCATGGTGGGCGGCGGTCGGAAAAAAAAAAAGAGAGGCTAGGTTTTTTAGAGCCTTAGCTCCGATACCATGATACAATTTGATAATAACTTGTCTTATTGAATATTGAGAGATATGGCCCTATATATAGGGAATACAAGAGTAATCAAAGTACAAGTAGGAAAGGAAAGAATAATCCTAGTATGAAAGGAAAGAAGTATCCTAATTTAATTATACTTCCTAATATAAATAATAGTTACTTCCTACACTCACTCACACAATTCTGGTGATATCTTGTGTAGCACCTTTCTCTTAACCCTCCTCTCTCTTAGTGTGTCTCAAACCCACCCACATGTTGCCTTGCTTTTATAACTAAAAATATACCCCGTAAGCATCCATGGTTTAAGAGGAGTCAAAAAAGTAAAATTCACTTTGATTTGATGACATGCACCAAGCCAATCAAATATCTCACTTTTGATCTTCTTTGTCCTCTTTGTGATTTTTTTTCTTTCTCTTTGATTAATTAATCAAATATCCCAACAAACTCCACCTTGATTAATTAATCAAACCATGGTCCGGCTCTACCTCGCTCGTTCCGGCAAGGTCACAATCTCCACCAACCTGAGAAGCTTCAAATGTCACCCGCTTCTTCCATGCAAATGCTCCGCTCGTTGCACTTGTAATTTTTCCTTCTGGCAACTTCCGTGTCAAATCTTTTCCTACAAGTTTATACAAGCCCTTTGACAAAACTCCTTTTGCTACCACCATTGCTCCCCTTGAAATTTTTAACACTCTACCTTGAGCAAAAATTCGGCAGCCTTTTGAATCTAAAGCCCCCAATGAAATTAAATTTCCTTTTAGACCCGGTACATGTTTCACTCCAGTTAATGTTCTCACCATGCCATCAAACATGCGAACTTGCACTGTTCCGACTCCTGCAATCTTGCTCCGTGCACCATTTGCCATCTTCACAGCACCCCATCACAAGTTTGATACGTATCAAATTGTTCCTTAACTGAACACATGTGAAACGAACAACCCGAATCTAATATCCAATTTGATTTGTCTAGACTCTTTGTGGTTGCCAAACACAAGTCTTCTTCACTTGCTTTGTTTGAACTTTCTGCAACCGCAGTCACGGGTGTTTTCCCGTCCTTCTTTTCCTTCCTCCTCTTTGGACAATCCCTTCTGAAATGACCCTCTTCATCGCAATAGTAACATCGAAAGTTTTTACTACTCGATTTGAAGCGTTGGGACACGCTGCCTCTCTCTTTAGACCTTCCTCGTTCCCGACCAGCTCTTTTTGCTACCAAAGCTTGACCGTCATTTGATACCCCATTGCCACCCCGCCGAGTCTCGTTCATCAACAACGCAGCAACTACTTCATCAAATTTTAAGGTCTCTTTTCCAAACAAGAGCGTGGTCACGATGTTGTCAAAAGATGAAGGCAATGAAGCCAACAAAAGCAACGCCTTGTCCTCCTCTTCAATCTTCACATCAATGGATTCCAACTCTATTGTAATCTTGTTGAATTCATCCAAATGACCATTAAAGTTAGCTTTCTCTTCCTTTTGGAGACCAAACAATCATTTCTTCAAGTATAGCCTACTTGTCAACGATTTTGACTTGTACCGGCTCTCGAGCTTGTCCAAAATATCCACCGGGTCCGTCAAACCGAGAACCTCCCGAAGAGTATTATTTGCAAGACATAGGCATATTGTACTTGTTGTCATGTCCTTCAAATCCTCCCACTCTTCTTCCGATAATTTTTCTGGTTTGTCGTTCTTCCGGTGTTTGGCCCACTCAGCATCCGTCATTTTTTCTGTCCTCTGAACCTTCACCTTCAGAGCTTTGAATGTCCCTTCCCGAGTAAGAACACTTTTTACTCGTTGTTGCCACAGAGTAAAATCACCACGTCCATCGAAAGGTTCGACAGAAACATTCGAACTTTTTACTAATGCCATTTTTCAAGTTCTTTGATTTTCTTCTCTTACCGCTTAGAAATCCCTCCGCCCCAAATGTAACTTGGCTCCGATACCAATTGTTGGGATTTTAAGCGCGTAAGACTATTAAAATATCAAGAACGTGAAAAATAAATAACACACTACACAAGAAGAAAATATGAGAAAAAAAATATATCTTCACTCTTTGAGAACGATACACAAAAAACTCTCCCCTGATTACAAGCACTAAATACCAGACACTTATAAACAGACTTTTCACACCCTGCACCCGGATGTATTTTTCTGGGTAACTAAATAATAGTTACTCCATACACTCACTCACACAATTCTGGTGATATCTTGTGTAGCACCTTTCTCTTAACCCTCCTCTCTCTTAGTGTGTCTCAAACCCACCCACATGTTGCCTTGCTTTTATAACTAAAAATATACCCCGTAAGCATCCATGGTTTAAGAGGAGTCAAAAAAGTAAAATTCACTTTGATTTGATGACATGCACCAAGCCAATCAAATATCCCACTTTTGATTTCTTTGTCCTCTTTGTGATTTTTTTTCTTTCTTTTTGATTAATTAATCAAATATCCCAACAGATCCTAACATAATACTGCATCCAAGTTTACGTACGTTCGTGCATGCATGCAGGACGAGAATTGTGGGAGCTATAACAATTGGAGTTTTAATTATTGGGTTCATATTGCTATTGGCAAAAGTGCAGGGGCCTGTCATCAAATATTTCATCTGTATAGGACTGTTTCTTAATTCCATTCTTCACTTTCTCGTGGTTTTCATTCTATCCATTTGTTGTTGTTGCTGTTATTAATCTTCTTGTTGTTAAAGTGGATGTTGACTCGTTGCTGTACAAAAAAACAATTGTTGTTATCAGTTTATCACCACTACGGTATTTTTTTCTCTTCTTTTTTTGGCAATATAAATTATTCGGAAAGTAGGGAGGACATATGGAAGCAAAATAAACCTTTTTCCAAATGAATGAGATGATTGACAAGGCACATTAAACTTTACAAAATCAGCAGCAACAATCCAAATAAATAGAAGAAATTTACCTGTATACTCCGTAATATTTAAATGTAGTGAGTTTTCTAATGTAGTATCTATAATAAGTTTTAAATACTCAATGTATAGTAGGTATTACTCTTCAAAGTAAATGTCTACCGCCAATTGACATTGTTCAAAGTAAATGTTCACCGCCACGGGATAATATTATTCCAGAAGCCCAATTCTCAAATTTTATATATAAAGAAAGGATTGTGTAAGATAGTTATGAAATTATCGTGACTAAATATTATTTCATTCATTTCCAAATAAGGCTCATGTTTGTTATTCACATAGTTAAACTAAATCTATTTTCCTTAATACTCTCTCCGTCCCTAAATAAAGTTCCTCTTTCGTTTTTTTTGTCCCTAAATAAACTTTTCTTTTCCCTTAAAAAACCCCGTTTACCCCTTACTTTTTCATACCCTACCTATCACATCATACCTTTTTACTAATAATCTACCTATTACATCTTACTTTAACACATCACATCAAGGGTATTTTTGGAAAGTCAACACCAAAATATCCCTCCCTTAAATCCTCAAAAAGTCAAAAATGGAACTTTATTTAGGGACGGAGGGAGTATATTTTTGTTAAACTTTTTTAAAAATAGTCATGTTGTGATAGAATTTAGGATGGGTATGGACAACTGGACTAGGTAATAAGACACTTGGGTCGAACCACATTAAAAGATTGAATCCAATCGATTAGTTAGTTTAACTCAACAGCTTATATACCGGATTATTTTACTCTTGGACTTTCGATGTGGGATGCACTCTAACACTCCCCCTCAAGTGGACAACCGGGTCATTTTGAATCTAACCGGTTGACCACTTGCAAATGAACTCCCATTCCCTTAATATTTTTTTGAGCGCCAACACCTAAAGGACCACGAGCCGCTGGGTATGGACTTCCAGATGAGCAATCGTGTTAAACGGGCCACAGGCCGTTGGATACATACTCCATACGGACAACTGGGCTAAAGACTAACGGGCCGCTAGGAATGAACGTCTAGACGGACACCTTGACAAACGAGGTGGACCAAAACCTGCTCCGATACCATGATAAGGAACCAACCCAACCAAAAGCTCAACCAGATTATTTTACTCTTGAACTTCTGATGTGGGATGCACTCTAACATGTTGCAACTTGTTTTGTAGAACTTGTATGCTTTTAATAAATATATTTTCTTTGATTCCAAACCAATGTTTAGTTCTAATATCTTGAAAATAACTTCTGTTAGACATCGTGAATCAAAACAAGAACCTTATTTCAAAAATGGGGAGGAAATAAATAACATTTGTTAAACATTTAATTTACATAATATTCTTCTATAGTTGTAAGCATTCTGAAACATTTACTTTTAAATTTTTAAAAATATGGTTGCGTAAATGAAAGAAGAAGAAATGAGTTCGCTTTTATCTCCCAAATACCATTCTATGAAATTCCTAAGGATGATTGTGTAAAGGAAAAGAAAGAGAAGTGAATCTACTTTCATTCAAAGTTTCTTATTCGCATACATAGGTATATATGGTAGATTATCAGATCACACACTATATAATTTTTTTCATTATAAAAGTAAGTCAAATTACCAAGATAAAATGTAAGGTAAGACAAAGTTCTTATATGGTTCTAAAATCCATACTTATTTATAGCAAAAAACTGCTGCTAGGTACCCTTTATTTCAAAATAATAACTGCTGGGTACCTCTAATTTTTAAAATATACTATGAGGTATCCTATAATATTGAAAAACTAATTGATGGGTGATTTTCCATCCATTGCTCAGTTAACTCCAACTACATCGGTCGTCATCATCATCATCCTCTTTTCATCGCCCCTGCCTTCATCATCTTCTTCTTCTTTTTCCTTTTTCCTTTTCTTCTTTTTTTACTTTTCTTCTTCCTTCAATCCAGCCCCCCACCCCACTCTCTCCCATAATTTTCTTTTTTTTTCTTTTTCTATTATTGTTATTATTATTCAAAATTAATTAGTAATTTCACACCCTAAAAAAGTAAATTTATTACTCTAAATAGTGATAAATATCAAGTAATAAATAAGAACAAGAATACAAGAAGAAAATAATAATAAAGAAATAATATTTATAATAAATACGCACTCTGTTCCATAAAATCCATCTCCTTTTGTTTTTTACCAATTCCTTAAAAACACTTCCACTTTCTATTAAAACCCCACTTTTACCCATATTTTTCATACATTATCTATTACATCATACTTTTTCACTAATAATCAAACTATCACATCTTACTTTTACCCATCACATCAAGAGCAGAATTGAAAAGTCAACCAAAATTACACTTTCTTTATTTTGACCCAAAGTCAAAATGGAAAGGGTTTAAAGAAACGGAAGAAGTAATTAAAATTAATAATAATTACTCCCTCCATTTTTAAAAAGAGTCCCTACTTTGACAAAGTGTAAAAATAAGGAAGTGTTAAATTGTACTTCCTCCGTTCCAAAAATTTTTACACATTTTGACCAAAGTGGAAAATAAGGGAGAGATAATTTTGTGTTGACTTTCCAAAAATACCCTTGATTTGATGTGTAAAAGTAGGATGCGATGTGTAGATTATAAGGAAAAAGGTATGATGTGATAGGTAGGGTATGAAAAAGTAAGGGGTAAAAGTGGTTTTTTAATAGAAATGGGTAGGAGATTGTGGGACGCAATTTTTTTGAAAGGTGTAAATCTTTTTGGGACGGAGGAAGTAGTTAACTTTCAACTTTGTCTTTAATGTGATGGGTAAAAGTAAGATGTGATCGATAGATTAATAGAGAAAAAGTATGATGTGATAGGTAGGGTATGAAAAAGTAAGGGTAAAGGTGATTTTTTAATAAAAAGTGGAAGTGTTTTATTGAAAGTGAAAAAAAATAAAAGAGAAAGTGTTTTTCAGAACGAAGGGAATATTTTTTTTCAAAAAAAGAGTAGTACAACTACAAATTCTTTTAATAATAATAATAATAAATAATATCATTATTTATATTAAAAATAATTAGTAGTGGTAATAATCTATTAATAATAATAATTATTACTGCATATTTAGCACTATTTATTAGTGCTTTTTTCTATAAGTAGTACAATCACTTTTTTAGGATGTAAAATTACTAATTATTTTGTCATAATAATAATAATAATAATAATAATAATAGAAAAATAAGAAGAATAAAGAGGGGAGTGGTTTGGCTGGCCGTTTGGGAGGGTGAGGAAGCTAGATGTGTGGGGGAGAACAAAGAAGGAGAAGAAGAGAAGGAAGATGAAGAGGAGGGAGAGGACCACGAAGAAGAAAAGAATAGAGAGGGAGAAGATCATGATGGATGATGGTGTAGAAATGACGGAGGCACTTGGAACAAACGGAAGGAAGGATGGAAAATCACCCTTTAGTTAGTTTTTCAATATTTTAGGGTACTTCGTAGTATATTTTAAAAACTAGAGGTACACGACAGTCATTATTTCAAAATAGAGGGTACCCAGCAGTAGTTTTTTGTATTTATAGACTTTAATGCATTATTACCAAAAAGAAATTGGGCTTTTTATAAATAAAGAAAAGATCTACTTGTCAGTCAATGAAAAACATGAGAAGGTCAATTTTTACATATAAACCTTAGGACAATAGAAGAACAAACTCAAAACATAGAAGCCATATTAAATTTTTATCCTAATTTATTTGATTTAATTAACTCATTTAGAAAAAAACACTACTTTTTCATGATATATGAATTCTCTTTTAAAAAAACTTTTATTACCTTTCTCTTTTTTTATTTGTGATTTCTTTCCTTTTCCAGTTTCCTACCTCTTTTTTTATGGAAAATGCTAGAGTCACAAACATATAGTAGTTCACAAACTTCATAAACTTGCCTTTTGTGGATTTTAAATTAAAATATCTTTTATTATTTGAGTGCATCTTATTTCTAGGAAAGTGTTAAAAAGGCGAGTTTGTGAATTTTGTGAACTGTTTGTTTGTGACTCTAGCATTACTCTTTTTTTGTAGAATTTTAGGATGT